TGCAGAATCAATAGAAATGAAGAGTAGTATAAGCACACAAATAATACATGAAACTTCATATGATATGAGTTCAACAGTACCTGATAATAATGAATATGATGCATATAATCCACCAGTGAAATCAACTACTTGTACTATTATCTGAATATGATTGAGATACTGTTCTTTTCATGTCAGATTTTACATATTAAATTAAATTTTTTTTATTTATTAGAATGAAGTACTCTTGTATTTTCTCCTGCTCTTTAAATTCTGAATGACCTATATTTATTTATTTTTTTATATACGTCATTATATTGTGTGTATCTGTTTGTTTGCTAATGGAATGAATTACATATTAAATAGTTAATTCTTGCATTTTTTGAGACGATATAATTCATTATCTGATGAAAAAAGTACGTCATAAGAGATGTCAAGACTTGTTTAAATGAAAACAAATCCTATATTTATAGAATAATGAAACTGCATTTTTTCCCTCAAGTAGATCTCATCGTTGGGTCCTAGTCTTGAAATCACTCGGGTGTAAGTCTAAAAATTTTCCATTAACGGTGTTTGATTCTGCGTTAATATCCGAAAAATTTGGATCGAACAGGTTCCCTCTGCACGTATAAACATAAACTGTCGGATTTCATTACAGCATATCAGAAGGAAAATTTGGATGTTACTGTTTGGTCAACTATTAAGATAATCAAAAAAAACCTCAAATCACAGTTGTAATTGACCTGATTGAAAGAAACTTTATTGATATACTACTTTCTTTGATAAAACATATGCTGAAAGCAAGTTTGAGGGATCTTACAGAACAAATAATCAAATAGTTGTATTTCAAAAAAAAATGTCAATTGTATTTTCTTTGATTTGCCTTCATTATTTTGTTTTTTTAATCAAAGTATATTTCAATTTTGGAAAAAATCACAATCAAAACTGTGTTACTTAAGTTAAACTTTTCAAGGTATTTCATTCATGTTTCTTTAGAGACGAGATTTAGATTTCAACTATCGAGTAAATGGCTTTTTTTGTACTATACAGAGAAACAGTACATACTTATCTTTGAAAAACCTATCAGACATAATTGACTATAATATGATATTGCTTCTTGAAGGTCTTGAAAAGTCTGAGTGTGAAAAGGATAATAATTTTTCTTTTGTAATCATTCCTATTGGCCTATTGAAAATGATTCAACACACCGACTGAGTCGGACTGATAAGCAAATTCTCGACTGTTGACAAGTCTAACCCGAACTCATTCGTTCGAATTAGGGTATATTTCTTTTAGCATTTTTCCAATCTTATGGCCTTCGATTTAATTCATTAAATCATTCTTCATTTGATAGTGAAAGGTAGGCGTCCTCCTACTTTTATAGTGCATTAGACTATCAAAGTAGCTGTTATTTTTTAAGGATAAAGTTAAAAAAACTGTATCATATCAATGAATTTGAATATGTGCCGAATATTGGTCTACTGTGAGCCTGATACTTTTAAATAAGGATATTCATTGAAGACATTATTATATTTATATAAACGTATTTGCCATGAAAATAGCGGACTTGAAAAGTGAAAGACCAGTTTCAATCACATATCTCATCCCAAATGAAAATAATAAAAGTTACTTTCTTGTGACAGAGTTTTTAATAATTCGGTAATCAATGTATCCAATATAAGTTTGTATGAATGCTTACAAGTCAAACTGTATTGTTATCTTAGGAATTCATTTGTGTTGTTATCACATTAGTAGTGAGAATTTATGGTGATTCCCATAGATCATGAATAAAAGATCAGTTTTGCTTTACTCATTGTATATTCAACGTAGAACTCATGACTTATTAAGTATGATTTTTGAACAAGTACTTCATCATCTTCTATTTGATTCTTGTTTAAAAAAATATCTATTTATTGTCTCATTATTTTCTTATGAAATAATCCCAGTGTTTTTATACAGACTTTATGCTCCGACGGACGATTCAAAAGTTTGGCGCGACAGATATTTATTTTTGAAGCATGGAATCATATTATGTAGCACAATAACTAAAAACTTCGAGGAGCCTAATCCGATCTTCTGAGGGATGTCCCCTCTCCCCAAAATCAGATAAAAGACTAAATAATTTGTTATTATTCTTTTTATTCATTTATATTTATAATAGAAACTTATCTAATAACATGACGAGAAAATTCTTTCGTTAGATGAATAAGTTTCTATTAACGATCCCCCCCCCCCCCAAAAAAAAAGACCAGTTTTTTCGTCAGAAACATTGACCTTGCGATAAATGCATGGGAGGATTCCTTCAGATCCGGTATTTTAGAGACAGTATAACTTTTTATTTGACACGTCCTTTTCTCCCAAAAAGTTTTGATGATTTCTATTGAAAAATAAGATTTTTCAGATAAAATGAAAAATGTTTTTCGTTTTTTCTCAGATTATGCTTTTTCGATCGCGTAACCCAAACTCATTTGTCCAGGCTCACTCTATATCTGTCATCTTTTTTTCTGTTTGACAGAGCGTGTCAAAACGCAGGGCACCAAAGAACCCTTTCGAATGCGGTGCAAAGCACATAATTTCATTTATATAGTCTTTCGTGAGCTTTCTTTTCTTTTATCACGACTTATGCATGAAAAGTTGTCGTTTTCTGTCGTGATGATCTCGTAATTGGAAAGTCAGAAAATGACGGTTAATCAAGGTTTGTTTTTATCATATATACAGACACTTATATAATTAGAGTATCGTTTTTTAGGGCTTTTTGAGTCATTGAACTTGTGATCCTCTTTCTCCACTTAAAAAGTAAAAATTAAAAAAAAAAGAGCTTTTTGGTGCCCTGCATTCTGACATCCACTTTCTAACAAAAAAAATGAAATACGTAGAATGTTTCTAGACAGAAATTTGGGTTGTCAAATAACCTATTAATATAGGGCTGAAAATCTTACTATAGCTTCTTCACTACAGCTCCAACATACCCTGAACGTTTCATACAACTTGAATATATCTGGGATGAGATCGATTTTTGATGGAGAGCGGGGGAGGGGGGCAGGGGAAGAGTTCTTAAATATGAGAAAGAATCGAGAGTCATCTGGTGATATATATAACTACATGAATTGAATTATAATTGGTAAACAAAATTATCACCATACGATCTTAACATATTAACTAGCTCTATGGATCTTAACCGTGATTCTAAAATGTACATTTATATTACTAGTTTCATACGCAAGATTTATCTGTCAGAAAACCCCTGATTCGTCAAAACTTTGACTCTAATCATCATGACAACCTAACCCGAAGGCATACAGTAAGGCGAGTTGATCAATCTTTCATTTTATCAACTGAATCGAACCTTTTGATGAAGATAACACTTCAATTTCAATTTATATAAAAGCAAAACAAACTAATCTCAAATATTTTCATCAGACGAAAAATATTCAAGGTTGAAAAAAATGCGATCGTCAACGGCCACATACAATGAAATACGGCAATAAACAGTAACTATTTACGACGGACAAACACGATCGCCGTCTATGACGACGTATATATAAATACGATCGATGTTTACCATTTAAGCAAATGACTATCGTATATGAACGATCCTAACTTAGACGTGAGTTGAAATGCCCATCTTATTTAAGACTAACTTTTGAATCCAACACCAAATTCAATAATCAGTATCAGTTAAAAACATAGACCATACATTTTTTTCATCCAGACTTCTCTCGACATTCGATTCAATGATAGATATTTATTTAGGCAAGTTCAACTACTTTTTTGATTTCGATTTATCTCAATAAAATATTCAACAATATACGGCACGATTAGATACGGTTTTAAATCGGGGGTCAAGCAATACGATTACATAATGTCCGTCCTTGGATTCCTTGTTTTTTTTTTCATTTACTAACGCCCTCTATCTTCTGGCGATTTCTTTATTAGTCCACTACATGGTCTTTGTCCTCGACCCTTTGTCTTCTTCGTTTTTTTTTAAATAGAATTATTTGAAAATTCTTCATCATGTCTGAAACATCAATTCGTGATGTATTTCTTTCTATGCAATTACCGCCTGTCGATGAAATAGTTGCTAATTCAAAAACAGGTAACAGTCAACGAATATGTTTTTTTAAAACAAAAGTTAATATTACAATTTTATTTAGACTTTCGAACTATTCGTAAATCTCGTCGATCATGTTATCGAACTTGTATGGATCGTTTTATTCATTTTCAGTAAATCATTGCGTTTTTTTTTTGCTTAGATCATGTTCCAAAAAATGAAGAAACAACAGATACTTCTGATGTCATTCTCGATGAATTAATTCAAAGAATTCATACAAAAAATAATCATTTAAAAGAACATTTACAACAAGAAAATCAAGCTATTGAAGATTTAATATGTAAAAAGTAAATATTATTTATTCATCATAATTAGAATAGAATTTTCGTTTTTCCCATAGACGTGAAATTGATTTATGGCGCCAATTAACTAATTTAGCTATATTACCATCAACACGTAAAAAATCTATTAATGATCAATTAATTGCCTGTAAGTTAAATTTTTTCTATTATTATTTAAAATTAATTTTCTTGTGCAAAATTAAGATGATTTAAATGAAAAAAAGACAATTGAATTTCGAAAAGATTCAAATGAAAATGCTCCATTAAAAACTTGGAATTATATAAGTCGTCATATAACAGCTGATTTAATAGAGAATATTCTTCATGAATCAGGTAATAATCATAATAATAATTATGCATCCAATGGACATCATGCAATAAAAAAAACTCGAAGAACAAATGATGTAGCACAAAAAATTTTTTCAAATACAGGAAAATCAACAACCATAAATACAAATTTACAATCAAAAAGTAAACGAACAACACGTCGTAGTCGAATGTAATCAGTTGATGTTGTTTTATTTTTTTCTGCTTCTTGTATAGAATAAATAATATTCTTGTGAATGTGAGGATGAATAGATAATATGTTCTTATGTATATTTCAGATTACAATATTTAGAAAACAAAAGATGGCAAAAGCACCACTTAAACAATTATCTGTCAATACATTCGAAAGTAATCGAATTATGTCGCCAAAATCATCGACAAAAAAGGTAAAGTGAAAGCATTTATCAACATAACACCTTTGGCCATAGATCCCGATTTCTATACGACCAAAATTCACTTTAAAGACAAAGCCGAAGCGAGAAGCTCTGTTGTTGAAACTTATAATCCGTTGTGAGATATCTCTGTAACTTAATTCAGACAATGGCCAACTTGAATTCGTTAGATTTTGTCGCAGCTACAGTCAGAGCTGATGAGAGAACCTCTATACATGTTAAATTGCTTTTCGTCCGAGGCGATATTCATTTGATGATTACTATTGAGTAATAGAAAAGTCTACAGTGGTTTGGTTTTCTGAGCCTTCATGCTTGAGATATCGAAATTTTACTAGATTAGCTATGCTTCCCCTCAGATCCGATGAAACGTTAAACTTCAAAGTCTGTACGAAAAGTGTTCTTAATGAGTGCAGCTTTTCTATTATTTCCTTTTTGGAGATGTAAATATATAAAGAAAATTTACTTCTATACATGAGAGTGTTTCGAATATTGAATGTCTTAGACTAGGAGACAGACACTAGGAAAGTTACAACTTGTCTAATGTACTAATCTCAGTGAGAACATTGTTCGTACGAAGTTTGAAGTTGAAAGTCGATTTTTTTACGTGACATGAAGGAGACAACAGCTTTTTGTTGACAAAAACCTAGTAAAACTTCAATATCTCAGGAACAAAACTTTAGAAAACCATACCATTCTAGACTTTTTTATAAGTCATCAAATAAACATTGTATTGGTCGAAAAGTGATTTGACACTTGAAAAAATTTCCTTGTGAGCAGTTTGGTGTCGGAAAACTTTTCTAACAATGAAACATTTAAGCGTCTCCTATAGAAACAAGATGAGACCTAGCCTATTTTGTAGAGAATTATTTGCTAGTCATTTTTGTAAAAATAATTTTTCGATTTGGTTAAAAAGCAACAGAGACTGGGTGCAAATATTGACACATAAGGACAAATACGTAAGTGCATTTTTAGCCTTTTCAATATTTGCATCCTATCTCTGTTATATTTCAACCAAATTGAAAGGGTTTTTTTATGAAAATGATCAAAAAAGAATTCCTTACGAAACGTAATATTTTACAGCTAAGATATCGATATTTGTAATTAGCAAAAAATTCTCTACAAGATACGTTCGTTTTCATCTAGTTTTTAGAGAAGACACTTTAATTTGTTTCCTCGTAAATTTGTGTACATGTAATGATAATATGCCCTTAAGATTTTAGTGAGAAAATCTCTAGTAAAGGGAGACTACACCATACGTATGTCTTCTCCGTTCGTCATTTCCCCTTTCGATAACTATAATAAACTGATTGATATAGATTTGTACCGAAGGATGATACTACTAGTTAGTCAGCTACATATCGCTAATGTGTACGCTGTGAATTTTCGTACTAATCGAAGAAATTTATTTTCCCACAGCGGTCAAACGATGTCATTACATAGTACTGTCACTGTAAGTCTGACATTCCTGAACAACAATATTTTAAAAACTAGTTACCTTAAGTTTCATTACTTGTTTGATGAGTTTCAGTGTCTAATACAAAAGTGACCATTTTCGAACTGGAATCAGAATCGGAACTGCTTCAGTGCTGGCTACAGTATGGAAATGAAATTTAAGTTGAAAGTAAAAGTGTTTAGTTGATTCTTAATCGTAATATTATTTTTACATTACTATTTATAAATGATGCATGAACATAGAGTATATTTCGCTAAAATTGATAAGATTGCCCAAACAAGTTGTTTTCTTTCTCGTATTATCTTTTAGAATGCGCCTGTCATAATTGATGCACAAATAATAAAGAAAAAGAATGCTGTTTGTAAACAGTTAATGCCCATTGAAGAAACAAATGATATTCCATCAATTATTCGAGCTGGTTTACGAATGCCAACAAATGAATTTGACATATTTGTTCAAAGTAAATTCGTTACTGAATCAATAAAATAATATGATAAGATTGATTTCCTTTCTTTTTATGTTTTAGAAACAGCACCGACGTCTTATTGGCAAATAATGGCTGAACATTATCGAATTAAGCTTGCAGAAGCAACACGTGAAAATCAACAAGTAATCAATATAATATATAATTGTTGTTAAAGGAATTAATATTCTTTCTTTGTTTAAGCTTCATGAAATTGTTGATGGATTAAATAAAGATAATGAAAATTTACATGCGGTTGCTGATCATTGTGAATATTTAACTGATATTATTGAAGTAAAATAATATGCATTATATATTTTATCTAAATTAAATTTCATTATTTTTAGAAATTAACTAGTGAAGATAATATTGAACGTGCAAATAAATCATCAGCTTGTGTACGCTTGTTTTGATATTGAAGAAGAATAATCCTATGAATTGAACTATAGATTGATAGATATATATTCATAAATATTTTGTTGTGTTTATTTTGTGTTTCTCTCTTGTAAATAAAGTGAAAACAGCTAATCAATGTTGTTAAATAAACACAAAGATTACAAATAAAGTTAAAAATCGATCAAAATTGACTGTCGATGATATTGATACGTCTAACAATAGAAACTTTGCGCAAAGTAAAGTAGTAATAGAACTGATCTTTTTATCATAAATAGGATCTGATGGAGCTAGTAGAAACCTAATAATGAATAAAGTTCGATATTACATTAATAAACAGTCTTTAGAAAAATCATTAATTAAAAACATTCATCCGTTGAACTAATATCATGCGTTTTCCATCTTGTTTCTAATTACTTTTTTTTGACAACGATGGCTATAGTCAAATACTGAACTACCAATTGACGCAGAAATAATCATCGATGTATAAGACATTGTTATGGAAACAAAGTCTATGTGTTTCATTTTCATTCACTTATAAGTCATCAGAGACAATCAAAAGTAGCCGACTAGAATCAAAACTTCATGGTATTTCTACACACATATAAATATATATTTCAACTATTCTTTTGATATGAAGTTAGCTCATTGTGAACAAATCTTTGATGGATATCGAGAGTGACGCCTGTACACAATTTTTCATGAAGCATATTGTAGTATTTTGATTAAAATAATCTTTATCTGAATTATCAGAAAGTCTTTTCATACACCAGTTTGTAGTGCCAGATTAGGTCTACAAAATACTGTATTTTAAGTATTGATATTCGGAAGAAAATGCTGTGTCATGTAAGAAGAATCATTGTTCGAAGATTACTTTTAGCTTATTATGAAACATAATTTCGTAGAAAATTTAATTCTCTATCATAACAAAAAAGTAGAAACTACTCGGAAATGCTCTATATCTCGATAAATGAACATTCTTTTCGACTGAAATTTTCAGGATATTCGAAGGATCATTAAATCTATCTGGAGGATGGATTTCAGGTTGAAATTCCATTGTCTGAGTTTTCAGTAAATACCTAAAAGTAGGTCTAAAATTCAATAAAACAGTCATAATTCACCGTCAGAGGCTGATGGGAACCAACCATTTAAGATTTTTCTAGTGTTATCGAAACCTCTTTGTGAGTCCAATATGCGTTCAGATGATAGATTACAATCAACGTAGTTGCCTCGTTAGTTTAGTCAATATACAAATTCTACTAAGGTATAGCGAGACTTTAAAGAGTTTACCAAGTGTTGTTTCTGTCGTATGCATGTGTGTTATTACTCTCACCCTTATCTTCGAAATACTGATTTTACGCGGAAGTATGACGCATGAAAATATTGTGTGATGTAGCCGGGTACTTTTAATTATCACTAATGATTTATGAATGGACAAAAGTTGAACAAACATAGTGTACCAAGATATTTGACATACAGATTACAATGAAAAATTTTCATGTTTTCGATAATTTTATTCAAAAATATCTTTCTCTCGTTTTGAATATAATATAACATAATCTGACAAATAAAAACTCGTTTTGAATTTTATACATAGACATTAAAAAATATACACACACATATCAAAGTTCGTTTTGTTCCATCATCTCAATTGGTAGAACTATCATCAAGAAGACTATCATGTTCGTTAGTAAATGACTAAAGAAAACAGAAGCATGTAAAAAAAAAATGTTAAAAAAAAAATATTTATTACATTGAGAACATTTTGTAAATAATCACAATGACCAGATAAAATACGAAGTTGTTCATTTTCTTTACTCAAATCATCAATAAGATTATGTAACTATGAAGAAGAAAAAACAAATTGATTAGATCTAAGTAAACTCATTCAATCTACTTGTTGATTTTCAATAGTTGTTTCTTCAATAGCTTGTTTTCGTCGCTCGGTCATTAATTTCCAATAAGATTCAGAAGCTTCATCTAAAATATAGAAAAAAAATAATAATAAATTATCTATTTATTTTGTTTTGTTGAATTTATTTTCTTCTATACTTTGCATAAGCATTTGAACAATTTCTTCAGCAGCATTACCCTTATCTAATGCTTTAGCCATTTGTTCAGCATAATTAGGTGTATTTGTAGACATATCACGATTAAATTGTACATGATCAATATTAGTACTCATATTTTGTGTTGTATTTAACGTTGAATTTTTCGTTTTTTGACATGTTGTTCGATGATTTTCAATTGGATGAAGTAAAATAAATTTTGATGGAGATTTTTGTGACATAGTTAATCTGAAAATTTGAACATAAGATCTTCAAAATCTCCAGTACATTATGCTAGATGAGTTCAGAGGTGTAAGTCGATACTTTGATTGGCGGTGGCTGAAATTGTTTCATGATTTTTTTCAAAAATTTTCTTATTTTGGAATAGAAAAGAAGGCAATGATGATAGAGAACGTTCTAATAAGAAACTAGATTAGAAGAACTCTGAAAACTGATCTTGTGTATACAAAACATGTAAAGGTCTAGTATATATGTATATTTCGTGACAGCAAGAATTTCCAGTAATTATTTACGGGCAACGACAGCGACTCAGTCATTCGGCTTACACCTTCGGATGGGTTATGATTTTTAAAAAAAATTACAAAATTGATTGGAGTTGTCAAGTTATATTTTCCATATTTTGTTCTTCATAAATTCTACTACTTATTTAGAAGATAATTCAATCAGAGATGTTGACTCTTCAATCTTGGAAAATTTTCATTTTTCTGCAGTGCTTTATTGTTGTCTTTCTGCTCACTAACCTCTAAAAACTTCTCCACCCTCTTCCCCAATCCGGATGATCTCGGCACATTCCTAAACTCGTTCATAAAGAAATTTCTTTGTATTCTTTTTTTATCGTTATCATCAGCTATGAGTATAATGCAAATATTTTGGAATAAAAAACGAATTTCTGCGTTTTTGCAAGGTAACAAACTGATTTCTTGATTGCTATTAGTGGAAATTAATTTTTGTCTGTTCATTGAGATCAACAGAAAACAAGAGCTTTTCTTTTAATCTTATTATTAGGAGCTTTCTATGGCTTCTACTAATTTTTAATGACTTCCAGTCATTATTTGTATCCTTGAAACGTTGTAATAATTTCTATACTAGAAATCAGTTTGTTTTTATTCTAGAAACGACTTCTCAATAGTTCTAAAAAATAAGGGTTAATTTAAATTTAAACTAATGAATATTTTTTGCATCTACTTTTTCATACATTCACAGATTTCAATAGAAATGTAAAAAGAAAAGGACAAATAAGTACGTCGTTTCCATTTACAAAGCATCTGTTAGTGTTTTGTTCAAAATAGCAAAGTACTATAGCCAAGAACTGATCAATAAAACTGAAAACAAAATGAGACAATAATATACAGATGATGACAAAAGTGTACACATATTTAAGATCAAGAATTCTGAATTAATTGTTAGTATCAAATCTATATTACAGCTAAAATAGGATAAAATGAAACTAAGTATTGTTCGTGTATATTAATACATTCGTCGATAAATTATGAGTTTTGTTCGATTGCAGTTCCTAACTTCATACGTCTGAAAAAAAAAATGTAGACGAAACAAATTTGGAAATCTACAACAAGAAAAAAAGATTTTTGATAAGAAAAAACAAGTGGAAGACGAGTAAATTTTTAATAATGGCTCGACAAAAGAAGCAAAATGCTTTTTCTACTTGGTTTTTCCAAGTAACCCAGGTCAAAGAAACGATTCCTGTAAATGATATACAGAATCGAAGATCGACGTCATTACGCAGCTGTTTTTCGTAAGCTCATACAATGTAATGACAGATTACGGTGAGAAGAACATAGTATTTTTTTTTTCTTAAATCGCAAAAAATTTTGGATACTTTACTTTTATAGGAGATATTTAGTATGCGCAACATTGAATATATTTTTCTATTACTGTGAAACAAAGTACGATATAAGATATCAATCGCGGACTTTGACAATAGAGGTCACCAATAGAAAAATCATTTCATTGGATATCAATTTTATTCAATAATATGTTGANACGATATGTTTTAAAAAAACTATTATTTTACAGACAGTTGTTTCCTATTCACTTTTTCTCAAAATTTTTCTAACTTGAAGCTGACACATTAGAAGACCCCCCTATAATACAAGACCCTCCTTTGATGAATGAAGCAAAAGACATATTAGAAGACCTTCCTCAGAGAACTGACTTTCTTAAAAACAATTCCTGGAGTCTAGTGACTGTTTTGGTATTAAAATCCATAATGATATCTAAGTTTAGTGTGAACAATATTTTACTTCCATCGTGATAACAATGTGTCAGCTTCAAGTTAGAAAAATTTTGAGAAAAAGCGAATAGGAAACAACTGTCTGTAAAATAATAGTTTTTTTAAAACATATCGTTGAGTCATTTTAGTGCTTCTACGCAGCTTACTCTGGAAAAATTCTTTGATTTCTCTATGTGGAACAATCTTTCTTTGATCATAAGATCTAATGGGTTGAGTGTATAGTCGTGAGTGTAGCACATTAAGAGACCTTTGTAAAATAGTAAAATATTCGATAAAATTTCGTTTTATATTAATTAAAAAGCTTCTTCATCTGTAACTTTTTTCTAGAGATTCAGAAACGTCGTTATCCCAAAACAGATTTTCATAATTGAAGAAAATCTAACTTTACCTATACACGTCAGAGTTTATTCTGTGAGTACTTATGAGTCTGAGAACGCATTTCTTTTTCCAATACTATCTAAAGATACTTTTCGAAACAGACACAAAAGAAACGTAGAATGTATATTCAACTACTGTTGTTCTACAAACTGTTTCTTTACAAGACAACCGTATTCATTGAAGTTAGTTTGCGACCAATGACTATGTTAGTGGTAGATTTCACTAGGTACGAATTCCATCCATACTAATAAAGCCTCAACACGCACAACTGCCTTAACTAAATTCGGCAAAAAAATTCAATTTTCTTTTTTCATTTATTTAGTTATTTAGAAGGTTAAATGTTACCAGTAACAATAGGATTCTTTAGAAGAAGAATTTTATTCGACATTGTACCAAGATTTTAGGAAGTGTTATCTTTATTGTTCTAAGAACACTTACTAACGATGACCTCATTCTTTCCCACAGGATCAAATGTTTCTTTCTCATTCTACGCAAGAGGAGTAAATAAAATAAACTTGTTTACTAACGATGCATGGGGCAAAAATGGAGTGGAACCAAAATTTGTTGGCGACACTGCCAAAAAATAGCTTCTTTTAAGGGACATATTAGAAGACCCCCTTGTAACTTATGAATGACAAGACAAAAGAGAACACCCCGGGTCTTCTAACGTGTCGAAGGCTTCGCTTCGTCTAGTCAGTCGCCTTTCAGTCCATGGAATAAACGGAATCTTTCGAGACATCCGAAAAAACTCGGAGCTAGGTAAACAGAACTCAGTACACGAAAAACGCTTCTCCCACAGGACTGCAGAAAGTAAGAATAGATTTTTTGCAATCGATGGAAGAAATTTTTTAGAAGAGTTCTTAGCAACACTCAACAAGTCTACATTAAGAAAAGTTATCTATATAACGAAGTTATGTGCTCAGCAACTGGATTGAAACGAATCAAATATATGTAAACAGTCACATGCAGAACGACCTGCCAAGAATGAAGTTTGTACTTTGAATTTAAGTAATCGAAATTTACTTCAAGAAAGTAATGCAAAATTAAGTGAGGTAAAACAAAGTTGTGCGCACAAAAAATACGTGATAACTAAATAGAATCTTTATATAGTCGGACCTTTTGCGAGTAAT